CATAGCCGAGTCACTTTGACCATAAGAGAGCTCAGGTCGCCTTCCAGCTGCTCTTTCCTGGTACTGGGGGTTCTGATGATTGGGTTGAACTCTCACGTGAGATGAAGTAGCACTTGGTCTCTCAGGAGCTGGGTTCTGCCTCCTGCAGACGACCCGTGGCTTTCCCGCTGCGTGGAGACTGCTCAGGACTTCTTCTCTGACTTCTTCTCTGATTCAGAATCTGGAGAAGGTTTCAGGCAAAGCAGGATGAAAACCTTTCCAGGAAAGGGGAGAGTGAAGCAGGACGCTGGAGTGAGCATTTCCTGCCTCGGTTTCCATTTTGTGACAACTGATGGCATTCTTTTTATATTGAGGGTGACTCAGATCTGCAGATGCAGATATTCCGAAGGAGAAGAAAACCACCATGAGAACACAGGATGCCCAAAGGGAGGTGGCTGAAGAATACTTCGCAAAGACACCCTTGGGAAGGGCAGCTGCCAGGCTGAGTCCCCTCCCCACCCAGAGGAGGGGAAACACGGAGGGGTTCACAGCRCCACTTGGAGCTTCAAAATGTGTCCCCTGCTTTCAAGAGACACAAGGAAACTCATGTCTGAGAAGGTTCAAGTCAGGCATGGACTGAATCAGACCCCAGCCCAAGGTGCCTCCCTGTGGTGGGGGCTGGGGTCTGCAGGGCCTGGGGACACAGGACCAGATACCCCCCCCCCCCATAATTAAGAGCAACCCCCACCATATCTGTAACACATACATTTCTCTTCTTGTCCGAGCGTTTTACACAGGATATTAGCACAAACTTCTGCAGAGGGCATTGGGGTGTGTGGCTTCTTCTTTTTTGTAATTGCCAGGTTTGCAGAAATAAAGCTTGTAAAACCTCTGTCTCATCCAAAAAAAAAAAAAGGAACAAAACAGGACTTGTCATGTAAACCTTCAAACCCTCCTCCCACTGGGTATTAAGTTCAAAGAATTTCCAGACTCAAGGTCCAGAGAATGCTTTTTTAGGCAATAGCCCCTCTGGATCTTGCAGCCAATAAACCTGCTTCCTGAACATTCCTCAGCCTCTTCTGTCCTACATCATTTCCATGGAGCCGTGGGGGCTACGCTGCAGGGAGAGGAGCTGTGCTCTGTCCACCAGGCTGCACAGAAGGACAAGGAGACTGCAGCAGGAAGAGGCCAGAGGACAATGGTAGATGTCCAGGGACTGAAGACTAGGAAATCGCAGAGTAGATATATCCACTGGGTCCAGGAAGAGGCATGGTCTTTGAAGACAGGCCACAGGAGAAAGCATCAACTCTAACATCAGGACAGACCTGAGAACGAGTCCAGGGAACACCTGCCCTGCGCCCTCCATCTCCTCTGAGTTGTGCTTCTTCAACAGAACACCGCAGACTGGGCCATCGGTGAACAGACCCACACTGGGCCTCGGGTCCTGGAGGCTGGGAGGGGCAAGCTCAAGGGGCAGCCTCTAGGGAGGGCCTTCTTGCTCATCATCCCATGGTGGAAGGCAGAATGGAAGAGAACACACAGGCAGGAGACAGGAGGGGGGCAGACTCACTCCTTACAACTCGTCCCTTGTGAGGACATCAACCCATTCCCACGAGGGCACATCCCTTGAGACCCGGTCACCTCTTAAAAGTCCTACCTCTCAACACCGCTGCACTGAAGGTAAGTTTCCTACACATGAATTTTGGGAGACACATTCAAACCATGGTGCTCTCCACCTGGAGGCCCCCAGAGGCTGCAAGTGCATGGCTCTGGGAGGAGAGGTGGGAGGGGGTAGAGAGAGGGGGCAGCAGAAAGAGGAGCTTAAGAAAACTGACCAGCCCACCCCTCCTTATTTAGCAGGTTTATAGCCACGTTTGGAGTCTCTTTATACTATGATGTGGACATTCTGATTTCTGAATCTGTTTGTGATTTAAGGTAACTTTGGGATATTCTGTGATGTAAGAGACAGAGGGGATTTGCTGGCAATGACAATCTTCCCCCAGGATAAAGGATCACTTGACGGGACATTTCAAGGGGCATTGGAACACAGAGTAAGGTCGCCATGTGACCGCGAGCCACTTGCTCTACAGGTCACCACAGGGGCTGGAGGGAGGAGGCACAGAATCTGGTATGTGCTTCCTAAATCACCTGTTATGAGTTCCAGATTCTAAAACAGGAAGACCAAGGGAGGGACTTGGCTGACACTTGGAGTAGAACTTGGAAAAGGTGGAGAAGGACCCTGGCACCCTGGAGGGACAGAATCAGCAGGGGTTGGAATGAGGAAAGTCCTGAAATGAATTTAGGGCACTGGTCCCCAGATGCAGATCACCTGCTGTGACAAAAACTTGGAGTCCTCACATGCAGGCCCTCGGAGAGATGCCCACCCCAGGAGTCTTACAAAAAGCACAGAAGTCAGTCACCAGATGCAGGCAGGGTTTGGGTGGAGTTTACTTTGGCGGACTCTACCCAGAAAAAGGTTAAACATGGCCACCTGTCATTGCAGGACTATTAACAATGTGCTGTAGGTTCGGCTGGAAAACCAGGCTGAAATACATAAACACTATTAAATCTAGTGGAGTGGAAAACACACCTAGAGGGGAGATTGACTTCAAGAGCCTCCGCTAAACACAGTCCCGCGCCGTGGAATGACATTYGGTCAACCGTGAACCACGTGTGGGAAGGTGGTCCCGTAACCTTATAACGGAGYTTGGAAAGACTCCCGTTGCCTGGAGACGCCCTTGCCCTCCTGTGACCAGGCCTGTGGTGTCTGTGCAGGTTTGCAGCCGGGAGCAGTAGGCCATACCTTGCCGGCCAGCTCTATGGAGGGCAGTGACCCCTAGGTTTCACCTGTGCACTCTCTCGTGTCCACACAACGCAGACATCCACTAGTGGCACATTTCTCAGAATGTATGCCAGTTCAGTGATGCAGGACTGGTGGTTTGCTTGTTTGATGGTTTGTTAGCTTGTTTCAATTATAAGGGGTCATCTTATTCTCCTCTAAAGTGTTCACCCTCTCCAGGCGCAGTGCTGCACACCTATAATCCCAGGAACTTGGGAGGCCGAGGCAGGAGGATTGCAAGTTCAAAGCCAGCCTGGGCAGCTTAGCAAGACCYTAAGGAACTTAGCAAGCCCCTGTCTTAAAAAATAAAAAGAGTTGGGATGTGGCTCAGTGGTTGCGCGCCCCTGGGTTCAATCCTCAATTCCAAAAACAGCAGCAACAACAGAGTTAACTCTCACAACACCGTCAACCTACAGCCTCATCTGGGGGTGATTCGATGTAAGTTTTAAAACAGGTTAATGGTATTGATCGAAAACAGTAATAATGTTGGGTTCACGTAGGCCTGGGGCAGTGGGATGCCCAGACTCACTTCTGGCCTTCAGATTGCAGGTAGCCGGGTCCATCAGGCATGGCACTGACCCCAGAGCTTTGCGCTGCTTCCAGGAACCCCCACTCCACGACTGAGGTCCAGGTTTCAAATCGTGCTTGCTGGGTTCTGGGCAGTTCTGTGGATATCTTCTTAGGTAAAGTGGCTTTGGGACATTGAAAGGACGCTGGGATTGGAATTCACTGAATTTGGTTCAAATTTTGATGGACACAAGCTCCGTGACTTGGGCACCTTGGGGGACGGGGCTGATTTCAGCAGGGCCACTTCTGAATGTTTGTAGACGTACTCTGAGGATGACATGGAGCTACGTGGACCAAACCTCAGGGGCGGGTTTGGTGCTTTGCAGGTCTTCKTCTATAATTGGTCCCTTAAGGTCTGTTTTGATGTTCAAATAAAAAAACAAGAGCCCTGGGATTTCACTACTAAGAATTACTAGCTCACAAAGTCAACCAAAACCATTGTGGTTTTTTTTTGGTTATCAGGGACTAAACCCAGGGGTGCTTAACCACTGAGCCACATACTTAGTCCTTTTTTATTTTAGGACAGGTTCTCACTAAGTTGCTTGGAGCCTCACTAAGTTACTGAGACTGGCTTTGAACCTGAGATCTTCCTGCCTCAGCCTCCCAAACTGCTGAGRTTACAGGCCTGTGCCCCTGCACCAGGCTTCAACCAAAATTCTCTAATAGGATTCTGTCGATTCCAAGTGGATGGACAGTCAGTCCCCAGCTTAGGGCAAATCCAGAAAGTATCAGTGGTATCGAGTCCAGTTGCCTTGAGGAGACCTCACATCCACCCCATGTCAGATGGCGTGTGGCGCTGTGTTTATAAACACGAAAACCAAAGAAATAGTTTTGGAAGTTGGGTCTCTACTATTTCACTTCTTCTGCCTGGAAACCAGCCGACTTAAAYGCTCTGCTTCTCATTCTCTCGTTCCAGCTAAAGGTTCGTCGAGCGAGCCACTGAGTGGGTAAAGTGCAGCTTAATAATGGGATGTTAAAGGAGAAACCGTCGTGGACCTAATGAGCAATGTTGTTGTATGTGAGTTGTATGTTGTATGGATGGACAGTCAGTCCTCAGCTCACGAGAGCAGGGGGCGGGAACCTTCCCGTGGAACCAGCAGCTACTTGGGGACCTGGAGCACCCACCCCCAGGCGGCCTCTCCAATGCAGAGGGTGCATCCTGTGTGCAGTTCTGGAACCYGCTCTGTGGAGGGAGCTCTCCCACGTCCCCCTTGGTGGACACTGGGCTGAATCAGCTTGGCCAGGGTCTCCATGGGCTCCCAGAACCTGGAGGATCTCTGCTGAGCTTTTGTCACCTGTGCAGTCTCTGGTTTGCTTATGTCAACACACCTTTCCTCACAACCTTGAAAGCAGATGGGTATATTTAACCCCCCCCCCCAAAACCAACATCTCCTGACTGCCCACCGTATTCCAGACTCCATAATAGAAAGTTTTATTTTTGTTATCTTATTTAATCCTCAAACCAGGAGCCAGCAAACGGCTTCTGTAAAGGGCCAGAGAGGGACTATTTTAGGCTCTGCAGACCATATGGTCTCCGCCGCAGCGACCCAACACTGCCATTTGCAGCCTTAAAAATAGCCGTAGACAATATGTAAATGAGTGCTCCTGGCTGGGTTCCAATAAAACTTTATTTAGGATAATAGGCAGAAGGGTGAGTTTGCCCTCAGGCTGGTACTTGCTGACCCCTGCTGTAAAGGTCCCGTTAAGTAAGGAGCTCTATCACCCATTTTGCAGATGAGACAGTGTAGCCTAGAGGAGAGATTGAGTAACATTCCAAAGCCTGTGGAGGTGGTGGGGGAAATTTAGGTCCGACTTTTAGCCCCTGTAGACAGAAGCCTTTGGAAGCCTCAGGAGGCAGAGATGGAAGGCAGGCACCTTCCCCGAGCCTGCGCCCCCTCCACTGGGACGAGCCTGCCTTGGGTTAKGCACCGGCGAGTGACCTCTCCCCTGGGCTGCAGTCCTGCCGGGGGCTGCAGTTGGTCTTGTTGTTCCGACTTGAGTGTCTTTACTAGAAGGTCACCTCTGGAACTTTCTAGAAGAAGACAACAGCTGTTCCGGCTTGGCCAGGCTTTTGGATGATACTCTTGACACATGGTTAGGAGGCACTTACTGATTTGAGTCACTCCAGATGTGTCTGGGTGCACTTGCCCTGAACCCCGCACCAGGGAGCAGAACCAAAGGTCACAGTCACCACCCRGGCCAACGTGCGGAGGAGGGCATCTCACTTCTTCTGTACAGAGGATCTAGTTCTTTCCTGTGCCCTCGGGTCCTCCCTTGCGACCCGAGAGAGCTGTGGTGAACCTCCTTCAAGGGTGAGAAAGCCCAGGATGAGTCACTCCAGGTCAGAGACGGCCACAGAGTGACAGCCTCCGTGGTCAGTYGGGGAGTCCTCATCTCAGGGCCTCTGAGCCCCGGGACTCCACGCCCTTTCCTGCTGCGGGGCTGCTGGGCTGTTCCGGAGCCTCTTTTCCCCCACCGCCTCCACTGGCAGATCCTCGCTTGAACTTGGCTCAACCTGGCTGCCTTCCAGTCTCCGTCAGCTGCCCGGCTCCCCTGTTCCCTCTCCCTGGCCTCTCCCGGGTTCTCTCCTTAAGCTCTTACTCTTCTCTGGCAGCCAAATGCCCTCTGTTTTATTTTCTCCCCTGGGCGCACTCACAGGATGGAGCGAAGCCCAGAGATTGTTCACTTTCTTAACAGGAGCCACGCTCAGCTCTGCCCCAGCTGCTACACCTCTCAGGAGTGAGATGGGTCCCCAGGCAGATGGCTCAGCAGAGACTATTTTAAGCCCCAGAGTCACGAGAACAGATCCAGAATAACTCAGTCCAGCCGGGGTCAAATGCAGAGCAGAGCTGCTGGCTGTGAAAGAAACACGACCCTGGATCTGAGGAGTCACCGAGGAAGTCGGCTCCGGGGTTTTCTGGTTAATAAGTCTCCTTCAGCTTGTTTCACAAGTGACTCCGCCACATGATCAGATGCTGCTTCTAAAAAAAAAGAAGAAAAAAATCTTTTTCTAACTTTGCTAATGTCAGAGTTCTTAGTTGACTGTTCCTGTCTGCTACCAGGATCTGTGCCACGGGAATTTCCATTTCCCCTCTGTATCAGTCAGCTTGTTCCAACCGCAGTGCTGTGTAAGAAACCACCCCGAAGCCCAGCAGCTTGCAGTCATCTGTGGACTTTTGCTTTCCTGAACCTGGTTGACCGTGGCCCTGAGTCCCGGGTGGGCTCTCCCTGCTCCCTCTGGCTCTCGTCCTGGCTGCCCCAGCAGCAGGCTGTCCTGGCCATGTTGTAATAGCCGTGGTGGAAATGCAAGAGGCAAGATTCAACCGCACCCTGTGAAGCTTTTGTATACATATCTGCTGAAGGCACATGGTCCAAGCCCAGGAGCCAGGCCTCATAGTAATGGGCAGGAAGAACAGTGACCCCTAGAGGAGGGTGGAGGGGCTGGAAATACCATTGCTGAGGTTGTGGTGGGAAAGGAGTGGAGAATCAGAACAGTGCTGCTACCCATCCTGCCCGGCCTGCAGAGCCCCTGCAGCAGGAGGCTGATGGGGGTCAACAGAGAAATCTGCTTGTTCTTTACCCACTCCCCAGCAGCTGCGGCTGCTCATCGTTTTTCCTCCCCAGGGACAAGTCCAGGCGATGGCCCATAGCCTGGCTTCTCCCCTTGGACTGGCCTAGACTCTCTCTGCTCTCTCATAATGACYGTTTCCTCCTTCTATCTACTGAATGGCTGCGGAATTCTTCAAATTGGGTCCTCAGAGGTTTTGAAGAACTTTAGGAAGTTTGGAATTGGAAACAGAGAGGAGGAACACAGAGTCATTTAAAGTCCAGAGCCCCTTTATTTGCATGTCTCCATCCCTGCACATAAGTGTGCCTTCAGTTTTAGCAAGACCAGAGAGACGGGGCCCTCCTGGGCTTGCTAGGCGTGCCAGCACATGAGATGATTGTGGTCCTGCTCTGGACCATTATAATGTGTCTGGGGGCTGGAGAAGCCCTGTGTGGAGGGATTTTTTTACCTGTAAAGCTTGTATGACACTAGACTACGTAGTTGCTGCCATCACACCAAGCTTTCCACCACCTGCCCCTGTGAAGCTCACTGAGCTGTGGTGACAGGGTGGCCTCCTCAGGGTCATGGACAGCACATCTCCACCACTCTCTCCCCCTTGGCTTCCATAATATGCTCATGCAAACTGATCACCCAATCACACGTCTATGTGCACAGTCATGCATCATTCAGCAACAGGGGCACATTCAGAGAGGCATCATCAGGTGACCCCATCACTACAGGAACACCAGAGCTCACTCCCACAAACCAGGACCGTGAGCCCTTTACTCAACCTGCCTCTTGATGGATCCAGAGATGTAGGAGCACGAGATGCCCGGGGCTGCCACTGGGGAAGGCGGTGTGCACCGTTTCCAGCAAAAGTTCTCCCTGATCAGCAGGAGACACTGGGCCGAGGATGAGAGCCGTATAGAACACACAGCAGCGCTGCTTACCGTCATTGCGGAGCACCGCGCACCTAATCCTAAGTGCCCTGTTTTATGTGACCTCACGTAGGCGCAGTCAGACAAGGGCATCGCCCCACACGCCAGGCGCTGGCTGTGCTACGTCACCGTGGCTACAACTTCCCTGAGCCAGGGGCATTCTTCAGCTCCGCGGGTGAGAACTCCATCCACCCCTCCTAGAGCAGCGTCCCCAGAACCTGGACTTGACCCCTGGAGATTAATCAAACAGGAGATCAGTAGAAGCTTGTTGAGTGAATAAGTGCCCGGGCTTGTCCCACGGTGGGGTGCAGAACAGCCTCCAGTGAGTAAATTCCCCCCCTCCCCTTGGGTGGGGACATCCATCTGTGAATGGAGAGTCCTGGACCGGCACTGTCAACTCCTCTTCCTGAGCATTTGGCATTTAGAGTCAAAGGGCAGCTTTGGAGGGGAAAAAACATGGACTGGGCTCAGTGGAAGAAAGAGGCAGCATTGGACATTTAGATCACCCTAGGTTCACRCACAAGAAAACCCTGGAGAGGGGAGGTGGGCACCATGGGGAGTCGGATGACCTACCTCGGAGGGTGAACTTGAGCAGCCAGCTGTCACGGGCAGAATAAAGGCCCCCYTCCCCATGGCCCTTCCTAACCCCAGGGAATCAAGGTTGCTAAAGGAATTAAGGTCCAAGCAGCTGATCCTGAGATAAGGGGGGCCTACCAGGGAGGGGGCGGCCCAAGAATCAGAGTCCAGGGGATGGTTCGTGGAAGAGACTGCAGTGGCATTGCTGGCTTTGAGGGTACAAGGGCCCGTCGCCACCAGGGAGTGTGACAGCCCTGGGAGCCAGGAAGGGCAAGGGAATGGGGTCTCCCTAGAGCCCTCAGCCCCCAGCTGATGCCCTGGCCCTAGTCCATGTTGGGCTTTAACCTCCAGAACTGTGAGATGACTCTGTCCTGCTGGATGCCACTGAGGTCTTTGTGGCCTTAGTGGCTGCAACAGGCCTCGAACCTACCAATCAGGATGATTTTTGCTTAAAATTTTCAAAACCAAAGGAATTAAGTCAGAGAGCATCGGCCACTTTCAAGTCTTAATTTTATTTTTAGAAAATCTTCATTTTTCTAAACTCCCCAGGAGGTAAGTGACTGAAGCGTAGAGTCAGGCGGACAAGGCGACCTGGGGTCCCCAGCTCACTCAAGGAGGGGCCTGTCACCTCCTTCCCACACCCGGAAGGGTTAGTGCTGGTCTCCCACAGGTCATCCTGTGAAGGTCTCCAGGGAAGGTGAACCCATGTGGCCCYGGGAGGAGGACTGTGTCCCCATCACCACTGAAGAGGAAAGAGCTTCAGACCGTCCTTCAAGGGGAGGACCAGCCGGGGAGGGTTGGCCTGACGTATTTCCAGGGTGCAGCAAGTGTGCGGGGGGGAATGAGGACCCTGATTGGGGTGGGGTCCGAGGAGGACCAGTGGACCTCCGTCACTCAACACGAGCCAGCTGGTCCGTTCCCACGTGTGGCATTGTCTGTGTTTAAGTGCCTGGTTCTCGGTCACTCCCTGTGACACCAGGGAGCCCAGTCTGGCTCCCCGCCCCGGGACGCAGGGAGAACATTTCTGGTTGGAATGTGACAGATGTGACCCAAGCGCCTTCCAGCCCCAAGTCCAGGGGCGGGACAGTGTCCTCTCCTGCTGCTCTTGGGAGTCCTACAACCTCCTCCTTAGGGATCCGCTGTTAATGGCTTTCTGGATGACGAGGACGTGTGGCCCARTGAGTGGGGTGGCTGAGGGGGTTTGCAAACATGAGGCCAGCCCCAGGCAACATGGCTAGACCCTACCTCAGAATTTAAAAAATAATAATGGAAAAGCTGAGGATGTAGCTCAATGGTAGAGAGCCCCTGGGTTGGATCCCCGATGCTATATATATATATAAAAATTATAGTAGCAGCTGAGATGATTAAGAAAAAATCAGCCTGACCTCAAATGACGATTTTACTAATGGTTCCCTGCTGGGAGGGATTTTGCCTTAAAATATGTAGCCTGCAAACGCTGACTGTCACCCTGTCATGGTGAGCAAAACGCACCCTCGCCCCCCACCCCGAATGGCCCAAGCCCAGCCCTGGCTGCCGCCCTGGCCCCGCGGGTGTCCTGCCCGAGAGCCAGGGGACAAGCGTTCTGACACAGACCTGGCTCTCCAGTCCCTGTGCAGTTCCCGGGCTGTGGCCGCTCTGGAAACAGAGCTCCCAGGGACATCAAAAGGAATCTTTCTCAAAGTGCCTGGAAACCGCAGGGCGGGCGGCGTGGTTCCCCCGCGGCAGAGAATCGGCCCGATGCATTCGGTGGAGATCAAATCGGGTTAAATGCCCCCTTCCAAGGCAGCCTGAAAAATCGCCCAGAACAAGGTCTTTTCATGCGTTAGACCTCGAACGAAGGGCGAGCCTCAAAGCCTGGCCTAGTTCTAAATTTAGATGAGTAATTTTATCCGAGATGGAAGCAGCGCGTGGTGTCTCTGGTGCGGCTTCTCTTTGAGAGCGGGGGTGGGGGGTGGGGGGTGTCCGGGCTGCATTCCTGCCTTGAGGACTCAGAGGGGATGTCATGTGGCCATTGCTCGGTGAAAAGAGCAAAAGGAAGAGGAGACAGGCTTAAAATGTCAAGTCACATTGTTGGCAGGCTCTGCTCTGAATGCCAGCAACGTCACATGTGCTGTGACAACAGTGAGCCCCAGAGCTGGCTGCCGGAGGGACAACCGGAGGGTCCTCTGGCATCTCTTCTCCTGAAAGGGGTGCTTCCTCTCGGGGGCTCAGCTGTCTGTCTGCGATCTCCACACTGGGGGCTGTGATGTGCTCGTGGCTGACATTAAGCCCTGGTATAAGTTGAATGGCCACCGAAGATGTCTTTCCTACATGTGCTGTGACAGCTGGGATCTGGAAGCTTCCTCAGAGGCCCCTGTGAGAAAGGCTTGGTCCYCGACCATGTGCTGTTGAGAGGGGGTGGGGCCTTGAGAGGCAGGGCCCAGTTAAAGGATGTTGAGTCCTTGAAGGGAATCTTGTGACCTCAGCCTCTACTTGTCTCTCTGCTTCCCAGCCACCGAGAGGTGGATGGGCCTCCTCTGTCACACACCCGTGCCACAATGCATTTCCACAGGCCCAAGGCCAAAGGGCCAAGTGACGAGGGACAGAAACTGCTAAAACTGTGAGCCAAAGCAAAACTTTTCTCTTAATAAGTTGATGACCTCAGGTATTTTGTTACAGCAACAGAACTGACTCACACACACATGTGCGCAGCTCCCCTCTGATTAAATATCAGGTGTCCCTGGGGGGTAGGATTACCTGGATTCATCCTATTAAATGTGGAAAGACAGCTGATTGGCAGTTGTGTAAGTGTGTTCTTTAGCAGAAAATTAAGACGAAGGTAACATTAGGATCATGAATGCAGTGTGTTTAGGACTCGGGGAAGGTGAGGGCTGCCTGAGGAGCTCCCTAATGGGTCGTGGGAGTGGTGGAGCCAACTGATGAAGAGCCGAGTTCGAAGAGACCATTGTTTCTGCTCTCATTTCCAGCGTAACCTCTGGAGATGGCGCATGTCGAAATGAAGATTTCAGAAGCACCGCACACTCGCGAGGCAGGTCTCGGACTTACCTGCCTCCCTTCTACCCTGAAGAGCGAGGCCTGGGTTTGATTGAATTGCCTAGTAATTCTGTCATGAACCGCACTGCTTTTTTCTCCCTCGAACACATTACGGATGGTAACAAGGGAGTTATTTTCAATCAAGTCATGCTACGACGGGGAGATTTCTCTAACATTGTGATCCCTTCCTTGGAAATCCATTTCAGATTGGCRGATAAAATGTGATTATATTTACACTTCCCTGACACAATTCAGGCAGCAAAATAACAGCCTGCCGGAGACATTTTTCTTCTTCATATTTAGATCTGTCAGTGTTGCCTGCTGGGGGACGGGAGGGGTGGCAGGGGTGGCGGGGCTGGCAATGGGCTCTAGCTGGCGCGCAGACAGAGCCGTTCAGGGAGTCGGGTGCCTGTCCACCTCCTCTCCACCTGGGGTTCCTCGAGCGCCATCCTGAAGGGCTCTCAGTGCCACGACACAGCACACTGACCAGTGGGGCCCTGCAGGTGGAATCTCTCATTTTGGCCTTGACACGGCCCGTCGATGAYGCCAACGTGATTCTTTAATTGGTTCATGTTCATGGGGGGATGCCTGATCCCTCTGTACCTGTGTAGGTCTCCRTGGCCATGATCTGGGTGTCTGGATTGCAGGGCTGAGATGGTGGCTGGGAATGGGGACAGGGACCCCCTGTGGCAGAGGCCCCAGAGCCCCGGTGTCCTCATCTGTAAGACCAGTGGGCTGGTGGAGGGGGTCACGCAGGCTCTACGTGTGTGACATTCTGGAGCGGCCGTGTCAAACCCACCTCTGGTCTCCGTGGACAGTGGGAAGTCACTGCTCGGGACAGGGCGTGCTTTCGTTTCCATGGGGCTAGAAAGAGAGGTAYGGATCCCACCCAGTAACCCGTGTTTCTGACCAAACACAACACTCTCCCAAAAGGAGGGTCCAAAAGACTCCAGGAGGAAGGGGACCCTCCTCTTTCCAGGTCCCCTCCGAGCTCTTGATCTGGGGAGGATATCATCATCCAGAAACAAAGGACCTGGCACCCCTGTTGCTGGCAGTGCCGCAGAGAGACCACCTGCAGCCAGCTTTCTGTCCCTGTCACAGACACCTGACACATGCAGCTTCTAGAGAGAGAGGAGGTGCCAGCCTGGTGGTTCCCATCCATGGTGGGATGGACCCATTGCTCTCAGGTTCTGGTGGAGGCCCAGATGGCAAGGGGAGCCTGTGGTGCAGAAGAACGGTCACCTCCTGGCCAAGAGCAAAAGGGAAAGAGGAAGGGGCCAGGCCTCCAGTCCCTCTCAGAGCACACTGGCAGTGACCTAAGGTCCTTCCAGCCCAGCCCACCTCCCGAAGTCTCCACTGCCACCCTGCAGACCAAGCCTCAAAATACGGTTCATTCAGGACACTCAAGATCCAAAGATGGCCCTTGAAGGACTGCCTAGTCAGCAGGGAGCCCCCTTACCCCAGGCCCCTGCCCCTCCTGGGCCTGCCCACAACCACAGACTGTGGGTCCTCTCACACCACCTTGGCATGGCCCACGAAGGTCACCTTGAACATTCCTCAGAGGCTCGGCTGTGGCCCCTGTCACAACTGCACAGCTTGGGGTCTCAGTGTTGATTCTTCGCTGTCCTTTCCTTCCATGTGGATCCCAAGGGTGCTTCCTGTAAACCTCTTAACGCTGCTCTTAGGGCCTGCTTCCCGGGGAGCCCAATCAGATCCGTGATGAAACCTGCTTCTTCCAGGAAAATCTAAAGTCTTTCCTTAGTTCATACTGCGTGGACCCCAGACCCAAGGTCTGCAGGTTTAAAGGAATATAGAAAAAATACCTTAAAATGTTTCATCAAGCTGGATGTGGTGGCGCCCACCTATAATCCCAGCAGCTCGGGAGGCTGAGGCAGGAGGATCGTCAGTTCAAAGCCAGCCTCGGCAACAGTGAGGCTCTAAGCAACTAAATGAGACCCTGACTCTAAATAAAATACAACATAGGGCTGGGGACATGGCTCAGTGATCAAGTGCCCCTGAGTTCAATCCCTGGTCACCGCCCCCCAATAATATTTCATCAATATTTTATGTGTCAAGTAAAAGATTAAAAATTTAAAAAAAGGAAAAGAAATTATCACATAAATCCAACCCATAGAATTTTTTATTATTTGGAAAAACGAGAAGTTCTCCTAAAACTGAGAGAATTACAACAATCCACGGAGTCTGAGTAGCCCTCTGTCCCCTTGGGACAGCGCCCATCTCTGACTCCTCGTGTTGGCCACGTTCCCCTCGATTCTTATAACTCATGRAGGCAAAGCTGTGCTCCATCGGGGATCTAGCACCGTATCATGGTATTTACAGAATTTCTTTTATTTGGTAGGAGGTTGGAGGTTGGAGGGGATGCAGAATACGAGCACGTGGATCTGCAGAAGTGGAAAACCCGTTCTTGCCGTGGCTGACTCACTCTTCCTCGTTACCTGTGCAGCCCCTCCAGGGCTCAGACCTCAACACTCCTGGCTCTGAGGTCTCAGCCATCAACTGACCTTCAACTTCTTTTCCTCGTGAATCTCGTCTGTGTGCCTTTCCCAGTCGTAATGAGAAGAGGGAGAAATAAAGGCGGAGAAAGAGAAGAAGATAAAAGAAGAATACCTCCCTGGGATCTTTATGAACCTTCAAATGTACTCTCCATCCTTCCTTTTTCTGGAGGGTTACCGGGATTGAACTCAGGGGTTCCCGACCACTGAGCCACATCCCCAGCCCTATTTTGTACTTTATTTAGAGACAGGGTCTCACTGAGTTGCTTAGGGCCTCACCATTGCTGAGGCTGGCTTTGAACCCCTGATCCTCCTGCCTCAGCCTCCTGACCCACTGGGATTACAGGTGTGTGCCACCATGCCTGGCTTCCATCCTTCTCGATGGAATCTTTGGAAGTTCCCATGTTCTCACCCTCCTTCACTGTTCCTTTATTGACATTATTCTACTAAAACTGCACCTAGAAAAATGACTACTGCAACAGGCTACTTTGGTGGCTTTAAAACATGGTTGGAAATTCCTAGGCCAGCAATAGGTGGTCAGTCACCTCTCCTTGAAACTTTGGCCAAACAATGGTTTGGGGTGGAATCGGGCCAGTGATCTTGTTCTGTTGAACGGTTAAGGGGTGTGTGTTGATGGGGTATGGAAGAATCTACCTCATAGCCTTGAGCTCTGTCTCTGGTCTCTTTGAACCTGTCCCACCTGCTCTTAATAGAACATGTACCAATCCCTGCAGTGGATTACGGCAGAAGCCAAGTTGGCTCCATGGAACTTCCAAGGTTAGGTTAAGACAGGCCACGAAGGTGTCTCCTTTTTAGCAAAATATTCACTCCTGAAGCCCAGAGCCACTGTGTCCCCCAAAGTCTCATGTGGGAGATGCTGCAAGAAAGCTCAGAGGTGAAGTGGTTACGTTACCTTGACCTGAGGGCATTAGTCCACTGATATGGATTAACTAAGGTTAGCTGTGGGCAGGTGGGGAGAGGCTGGAGGAGGTGGGTCACTAAGTTGTGCATGCAGAGTTCACTTTTGTCCCCGGTGAGCAGAGCTCTCGCTCCACTTCCTGGTTGCCATGTCCCGAGCTGCTGTCCTCTGCCAGGTCCTTCCGCCATGTTGTCCTTGTGTCACTCAAGGCCCAGAGCTATGACATTGACCCACCATGGGTGGAGCATTTGAAACTGTGGGCCAAAATACACTTTTCCTCTTCTCATTGTTCTTTCTAGGTCATTTGGTCACAGCAACAAAAAAAGCTGAATTGAGCCTCCACCTGGTAAGAATCCTGACCACCCTGAGACTTCC